CTGTGGTTACTATCCTTGCTGGTCACCGAGTCCATTGGTGCAGTCCCCATGTCAACCCATTTCGTTAAGGGTCTTCCTCTCTTTCTCTGACCCCTTCACCTTTCCCAGCATGATGTCTTTTTTCCAGAAGACATCCTTTACCAAAACCCCAACTGGTCATGATTTCCCGTGCTTCTGCACTCTTGGGGGGGGGGGCTTCCTTTCCCTCTCTGCTGATGCTTTCCCAGGCTCTATGCTCTCCTGCTGCCTGCCCCCATCGTGGCGGTGCTCCTCACCATCCCGGGTTCTTCCGGAGTGACCTCATCATGTACTGCGTGGCTCCAGTTATTGTTGGAAACAACCAGAGGCCCAGGTTTTCTGGGGTCAGGCCTGAGCATTATCCCTGTGAGGTGGAGCCTGGCTCCTGATGACCTCACAGGTTACAGAGAACTGCTCCATGGGTTTTTTTGTGCCTGTAATCTTTCGAGAAACAAACCAACAGCCCTTTCTTGTGAGGAGCCATTTGGGTAGGTTCAAGTGACCAAACTTTAGTTTAGGTGGAAACAACACGAATGATTGCCTCTCCCAGGGACCTGTATGCTCCCCAGCACCTCACAGTCAGTAGCCTCCTTGCAGGTTCTTTTGTTTTCTGATGATCCAGCTCACCCACCATCACCCAAAACAGACCGGGGGCTGCAGTGACTTCCCTGTCCCCCTCCCCTGCGCCCAGTCACAGAACCCTGGAGCTTCCTTCTGGGAAACCCCTCTTTGGACTCCGTCTCCGCTTCCATCCTCATATTCATGCAGACCTTGTAGTAGCTGTTTCCACTTTGTCCTGCTCTGCTCTAAGCTCCGGTGGTTTGGAGAGCGAAATTTCTTGGACAAAGTATAACCAGGGTGTTCCTTAGAGGCAAGGATGGTGAAACTGCATCTCACACGCTTTAGGCAGGGAGGGGCCACACTCTGGAAAAATGACATCATGGTGGGAATGGTGGTGGGTCAGAGGGAGACAGGAAGGTCTTTGACAAGAAAGATTGACAGTGACCACACATGGAGATCTTGAGGGTGGCGAAGGATAAGGCACCTGTTTTCACAGGTTTGCTGAGTTACAGTGGACTTGATGGCATCTAAGGATACTTTGCCCCGCCCTGAGCCCACCTGGTTTGTTGTGTGTTGCACTGCTAAAAATTCCTTGAATATACCTTCATCTTAGAAACTCTAGAGGGTCACTATGGATTGGAATCGATCATAGTTTTAATCACCATAGTTTTTAACCCCTTCTCCCAGTCCCTGGTCCTGTCACTGTCCCTTCTTCCATACAACCCAAAGGTCCCTCATCAGATCCTGTGTCTGGCTTTCTCCTTCACATAAGGCACTGCCTGTCTCTTTCTTTTGGACCGGGAAATCCCTGAGAACAGGGGCCCTGCATGACTCATCTTCTCTCCGCCAGAAGAGGGAACTCCGGTAAGTCTTTGTGAATGTGACTCATGGTGCCCACCCTCTCAGGTGAGCAAACCAAGGCCAAAGCATAGAGGCCTGGCTCTGTGTCACACAGCAGACGGAAGCAACCTACAGCTGGAACTGAGGTCTCCAGGCCCAGCCTGTGCTCTCCAGAAGCTGTGGACTCGGGAACTGAGCTGTGACTAATCACCATCCCTTCACTCAACCCCACACCCCCAGGGCCTCCACCGGGGCTGAGCAATTCCCTGACCTCCCCTCCCATCTCTAGGCCTTTGCTGGTCCTCCAGCTCTGACTGGTTATTGCCCACTCACACGTCACACGGTGTCTAATCTCACCCCAGCCAAGTCCCATCTCTGAGGCCTCCAAGTGCCTTCCTCTGTCCTCCCACCTCTGTCCTGCTCTGTGTCTCTCCTGAAGCCCATGCTCCCTGCCAGCGAGCTTCATTCCCTGCTGCTCACGCTTTCCTCAGCAGGGGCTGGGAGTGTGTAGGCCAGGCTCAGGGTCTAGCCGTCACCAGGAGAACTGGGACGGGTGGGGGTGGGGGTGTGAACGTTGGTATTTTATCCCAACTGCTTCTTCTCCCCTGTACACCCCAGAGTCACCTGGCTTTGTCTTTCACGTTTCCCTCACTATTCTGCTCTTGCAAGGGACACTGGTAGCCTAGTGGTAAGAAGCTGTGTTGTGATCCCAAAAGCACACAGTTTGAAACCACCAGCTGCTTCACAGGAGCAACCTCTTCAGATCTGATTTACTTACTGCCTCTGAATACCCACTGGAGGGTCAGCTATGGGTCAGTTCCAACTCCACCTCCAGGGTACATAACAATAACTGCTCTTACAAAGGTCCCCCATTGATGGGGGTCCCCCATTGATGTGCCCCACCACACAGCTTCACTGGCCTACAGAGGTGCACGCTGCTACCCACGGGGACACCCATACAAGCCCACGTAGCCGCCCTTTGTGCACACAGGTACAGACAGGTATCCGTCACACACAGTTACCCAAACACTGACACAGTCACCAACACATAGTCCGGGGACAGTCAGGCACACACCCCAGAGAGTCACAGAGTCAACAAGAGTCATCCAGTATCTCTTGCCCATTGACTGCAGTCTAGCCAAAGACACACACTCACACACAACCACAAAACCTGCACACCTGGTCACTCACACACAAACACAGTCACAAAGTCTCACACAGAGACAAATACAGAGCAATACAGAGTTACACATAGAGAGAAACAGACATAGTCAGTCGCACACAGGCCCCTGGAGACACAGAACAATGGGCACATTGTCTGGGTTGGCAGCAGCTGAGGAGGAAGGAGCTGCACTGTGGATGGAGGAGGCCATGGGGGCTGCTGCTGCGCCCCCCCCCCCCCCGCCAATCCTGAGCTTCATCTCTTTTCCAGAAGTCAGATTTCAGGAGGGACCTGCATTTGGTGAGGAACTGGGCCTGGGACCCCCCTCCCCAACTTTCTAGGATGTCTAGTGAGGGGTCTTCTGTGAACAATATGCCTCCCTCCCATGCACACATGGCTATGGGGGTCTCAGGGTCCTTTAGCCCTAACACCCCTTCCTCGTCCTGGACATCATCCAAGGATTCACTCTTATCACCACAGGGCAGCACCTGGGAGCAGGAATCGAGAGCTTTGGGGTCTACTCTTAGGTCCTAACCCCACCTTCCAGGACTTAAATGTCCACTCTGTGAGCTCTGCCAGCCAGTGAGAGCTGTGCCTGGCAGCATTGTGGGTGTCCCATTGTGGCTGAGACAGAGATGCAGGTCACAGCATCTGTCCCTTAGTGGTAGTGGGTGGAGAGGTCACTGGACTGCCATTGAACTGCAGAGTGGGGCACGGGTGACCCTCTCTGGCCCAGAACTAGCGCTCCTTGATCTCCCTCTGACCAGGCAGTCCGTGTGCCACAGGGATTCAGAATCTCAACAAGGATTTCATCACACGAGTTCTTGACAGCTTCAGCCCATTTTTTCAGGACTCAAATCCTTTTTGAGTCTGGGCTTCTACTTCTCCTGTGGGCCCTGGGACATGTCACTGCCCCTCTCTGAACCTCAGTGTCTGTCTGTAAAATGGGAGAGGGACACTAATGATGTCTGTCATCAGTATTAGAGAAGAGGTCGGGGGTGGTGGATTCCGGAGTGACTACAGACGTAGAAGCCACTGCAGCCTTTCCCACCCCTCTGTGGTCACATCTGTGGGGAGTTCCCGATTTCTCAGGCCCTAGGTGTCTCACTCTACACAGACTTATGCCTTGCTAGAGGCCTTAGCCAAGGGAGGGAGGGAGGGAGGGAAGGAGGGAGGGAAGTGGAAAGGAGAGAGGAGCTGTGCTATACTGAACACACCTTTTGAAACAATGTTTCCTACAGTCCTCATCACCTTCCTCCTGGGAGCTGGGGGAGGAGGTGGGGGACAGGACACACACAACTAGGACCTGGGCTCTGGGTTCCACCGGCCCGCCCAGGTGAGAGGAAGAGAAAGAGGCAGAGGACCAGCGCTGGAGAGGCTGCTGTCACCCCCACCCTGGCCCTGCCTCCGGGTTAGGTCACTCTGAGGCAAGATAGGGAGCTAGCCTAGGCCTTCCTGGAGAAATGTTTTTAAAGACCTTCAGAGGTGGAGAGAGTCTTAGTAGAGTCGGGTAGGTTTCCTCCCCTGCTTCTTCAGGACCTGGGGTGTGTTTTTGAGGTACCCTGAGTCTCTCCTGGATTTCTTTGCCTGAACAGGTAGCCCTGAGATAGGGAAGCAGTTGTGTGTATGTTTAGGGAACCCTGGACTGCGGTCAGGTCGTCATCCTCTGAGTCTAAGCTTCCTGACAGCGGTCCCAGCAGGGCAGACCACCCCCCCCCCCGCAGGCTGGCAGGAGCGTGGGTGGGACCCCTAAATCGTCTCCAGGGTCCAGTGGACGTGAAAGCCGCAGCCCTGCGGCTTCGTGACCACATTTTCTGGACCAGCATTCTGACGAGTCTGGGCATGTGAGCACTCCGAAGAGTTCAAGGGGGTGGCTCCCAGTCCAGGACCAAAGGATTCGAGGGAAAGGGACAGGAGGACCACGGTGCTGGGCCTTCACCTAGAAAGGAGGTGGTTGGAAAGGCTGGTCTCGCCCCTCCCCTCTAGGGCACCTCCCTCACCGCCCTCAGCTCCTCCCCAGCTCTCTCCTTGCCACACCTTACACCTGGTCCTGGTGATCGGGTCGGGTGGGAGAATCAGACCGCCAGCGTTGTCCACTGCGCAAGTGGGGTCCCGACCTGACCCCGCCTTCGCCCTTCGATTGGGCGCTCATTTAAATGGCCGGCCCCGCCCCCGGGCTCCAGGCGCTTATATAGACAGCTCGGCGGGCGACGGGCAGCATTCCGGCGCGGAGCAGAAAGGCGGTGTGTACGGCTAGCGGGTCATGTGTGGAGCGGGGGTGCAGCTCGGTTTTCCCGACACCCCTCCCCCTCAGGCGTGAGCTCCACCCCTCTGCCGGCCAGGCCGACCCCCTCCGAACCAACCCCTGCGATGTGAGCCTGGGGTGGCTCTGGGCGCCCCCAGTAGACCCCCACCCAGCATGGGCAGCCAGAGCTCTAAGGCTCCCCGGGGCGACGTGAACGCCGAAGAGGCAGCAGGCTCTTCCCCCGCCAAGGCCAACGGACAGGTGGGTGCGCTCGGCACGGCCTGCCTCGGCCGCTTCCCCTAGCACCTCGCCTCCTCTGGGGCCCTGGACCAGGGACGCGCGCTTTGTCCGGCCCGGGACACGCGGCGCCCCCTCCCCCGCTCGGTCCCTTTGTTCTCGGCGCCGCAGCCCCCGCGGGCGAAGCGAGGGGAGGGGCGGGGAGGGGGCGCTGGCCGAGCCCCACCGCCTTCTTTGTTCCCGGCCCCGGCCCCCGGCGCTGCCCCTCGGCCGCCCTGAGGGCCGCGCGGGGAACAAAGGCGCTGCCGGGCCGCGCCGAGGGGCCTCCCTGGGCCCGTGGGGGCGGGTGTCCGCTGGGAAGGGCACCCCCCAATGGCAGCCCGACCTCGGTGGGCCACGGCTCCGCCGTTTTGGTTTTTTTGTAAGGGGCGTCGAGATGGGAGGAGGGTCTGCGGAGGGTGGGGGCTGCCTGCACGAAGCAGGAGGCGGGGGCATCAGGCCGTCCAGGTGCCCGGAGACGGCGCCCGCGACGGCTTCCCGCCCAGAGCCGCCTGGCACGGCCCGCCCGGCCGGCCCGCGGCCCCGGGCCGATCTGAACGCGCGGAACGCAGCGCCCGGGGAGGGGGCGGGGTGCCGCGTGCAGCAGCGCCTCCTGCCGGCCGTGCCGCGCGCTCCGCGCTTTGAGCGGCCACGGGGAGATGTTTGACGGGATCCCTCTTGTGGGGTGAGTTATGCCAGACTTTGGGGTCGCAGAGTAATGGAGATTGAGCTCCCGATGTCAGGAGAGGGTCAGGAGCAGGCTGGGGGAGGGCCCCCACCTCACTGCTGTCTCCTCTGCCCTGCAGGAGAACGGCCACGTGAAAAGCAATGGAGACTTGTCCACCAAGGGGGAAGGGGAATCGCCTCCCGTGAACGGAACAGATGAGGCAGCTGGGGCCACCGGCGATGCCATTGAGCCAGCACCCCCCACCCAGGGCGCTGAGGCCAAGGGGGAGGCCCCCTCCAAGGAGACCCCCAAGAAGAAGAAGAAATTCTCTTTCAAGAAGCCTTTCAAATTGAGCGGCCTGTCCTTCAAGAGAAATCGGAAGGAGGGTGGGGGCGATTCCTCTGCCTCCTCACCCACAGAGGAAGAGCAGGAGCAGGGGGAGATCGGTGCCTGCAGCGAGGAGGGCACTGCCCAGGAAGGGAAGGTTGTCGCCACCCCGGAGAGCCAGGAGCCCCAAGTCAAGGGGGCAGAGGCTGGTGCTGCCTCCAAGGGAGGAGACACGGAAGAAGAGGCAGGGCCCCAGGCTGCAGAGCCGTCCACTCCCTCGGGGCCAGAGAGTGGCCCTACACCAGCCATGGAGCAGAATGAGTAGCTGGGTGGGGGCAGGTGGGTGATCTCGAAGCTGCAAAAACTGTGCCGTCCTTGTTGAGGTCACTGCCTGGACCTGGTGCCCTGGCTGCCTTCCTGTGCCCAGAAAGGAAGGGGCTGTTGCCCCTTTCCAGCCACGTCCCCTCTCCCTCCTGTGGATTTTCCCATCATCCGTCTGGTCTTCCTCTTGAGGCCAGTTGAAGATGGTCCCTTACAGTTTCCCAAGTTAGGTTAGTGATGTGAAATGCTCCTGCCCCGACTTCTTTCCCTTTCCTCACCCCTGCTGAAAGCAGTTGCTGGTTTTTGTCCCCAGTTTTGTTTACCCTGCTCCCCAAATCCCTGAGCCAGAAGTGGGATGCCTACACTCCTACACCCTGAGTATTCAGCCTTCCCCCTGTTGAGTTTTTAGTCTCTTGTGCTGTGCCTAGTGGCCCCTGGGCTGAGAAAACACTGTCTCTGTCCAGGTTTTTATAAATGTCTTACTCAAGTTCAAACCTCCAGTTTGTGAATCAACTGTGTCTCTTTTTTTGACTTGGAAAGGAAGTATTAGGCTTTGGGGGTGGGGGAGGGAGGCCTGTAATGTGAAACAACTTTTGTCTTTCCCCTCTTGTTGTAAATAACTTTTAATGGCCAAACCCCAGATTTGTATTTTTTTTTTTCTAACTGCTAAAACCATTCTCTTCCATCTGGTTTTACTGTAACATTTGGAAAAGGAATAAATGTTGTCCCTTTAGTGATGCCTTTTAATGAGTGGTCTTCTGGGGTCAGGGTGAGAAGGCTGGAAACTAGTTAACATCAAACCATGAGGAAGAGATTAAAAATAAATTTGAGGGTTTCCCAGACCCTTATGGACACCAGAAGGGCAGAAAAGCAAGAGATCAACTCCAGGGTCACTGCTAAGGAAACAGAAGCTCGAGAGTATAGAAATGTACCATTTTATTACAAAGATTCCCACAAACATGAAAATAGTATCTGAAAAAAGGAAACTAGACTATCAAACTCCACCTGCAGAACTGGGGTAGAATAGGGGGCAGGTAGTGAGTTCCTTGGCTCACCAATCTAAAGTGGTTGAAAAGAACTAGGAATCCCTGAGGGCCCAGCACCCCCATCCTAGGATGTGCACGTCAGGATTCTGTCCTGTGTCTTGTTTAAAAGACAGCAGCTACAGTGCACCTAGCAGAGCTGCCCTGGGCTGGGCTCAGGGACTTTGTTCTGGTCTAGTCCCTGGGGATATTTATATTTAATATACTTTTATATAAATACACAGAGAAATAGAAAATATATAAACTCTTGAGGGGTTGGGGAGAAACGTGGGGAACTTTGCAAGAAGCCAGAACTAGCAAGGTCTGCTCAGGTTACTTGACCTCCTCCTTGACCCTGTGGAGAGAGCAGAAACGAATGAGAAACTACCCCCAGGGGCCTTGTGGAAAAGTATGACTGACTTCCATAGAACTAAGGTTGGCCAAGTGGCTAGGGGCTAGGGGTTCCCAGCTCTGCCTGGAACTGTAGGGACAGATACTCTCTCTGAAAGAGGCCTTTGTAAACTGGACCAACTGTCCATGTACTTGTCAGATTGGGTCAAAGGAGCTAGTACTGTAATGCTAGGGAATTGGGGACCACACTTCCTCACCCTTTGGCTTCAGGCTTCTCCTCCTTGGTTTTCTCCTCTTCTGTGACTTCTAGAAAATAAAAAGTACAGGAATAGCCAAGAGCAGGGCCTTTGTAAAGACCTAGAGGATCTTACTTCAAAACCCTCTGCCCAGCACTACTTCTCAACATACAAAGAGAAAAGCCCATCCTAGTGAGCCCTGTGGAGAACAAACAGGTTGGACTGGTTTTCCAACTTGCTACAGCTAAACCTGGTGGGCGGGGGCAACCCCCTGGGATGGGGCTAGAGTGGTATGTGAGGGCCAAGTTCCTGACTGGGAGCCCAAGCCCAGTGGCCCTGGTCCTGAAGCCTGGAAGGGCTCATCAGTCAGTGAAGATGAGTCAAGTTTCAGTTTTTTTTGTGGGTCTTGCCACTTTCAGGAGTCACTGAATGGCCCAAGTAGCTGACTAGGGCCAAGTCAGCTCCCTCCTCTCTGTGTCCTACATTTATCTTCCTCCAGGGCCCTGAGCTCAAGACTGAAGTCCTAGCCTAACCTACCTTTCTTTTCTTCTGGGTCTTTCTCTTTTTCATCCTCTATTTTGACTCTCTTGGCTTTTTTAAAGTTAGAAGAGTTCTTGCGTCCACCTTCTCCCTCCTCATCAGAGTCAGAGAACTCTTCTTCACAGGCAATTCGTTTGTCAGAGGAACAGACTGAAGAGTATGGATGAGAAAACAGCAGATTATTTATGTCAGGGTCTATGTCCAGTACCTTCAAGAGACACCAAGTAGAACACCAAGTAGGAACAAATACTCCCTAACCTATTACTACAGGTATCAGACAAAATAATGCTTGGGATCTGGAATGAGGAGGTGTAGGGAAGTCAGAATTGCCTACTAAGTGGGAAGGTAAAGGCCCTTAGGTCTAGGTCTTACTTGAGATGCGTTTGTCAGGGTCTTCTTCATCCTCATCACCACTTTCCTCCGGGATGGCATCCTCAGGAATTGCCTGCATTTGAACTCCAGGTGCATGAGGCAGCATTCTTAGGTTCTCAAATAGTCTTTGTCTGTGGAAAACCAGAAAGAGAAGTTGGACTCTGGTCAGGAACAAACCAGAGTCTAGAATGTTCAATTAAGGGATGCAGGGTATACTCACTTGATCTTCTCCAAATACTCATTTGTGTTCTGGTTGGTCATATTGGAAGGACTGATGTGAAGTTTAAAATCTGGTCCAAAGTACTCAAAGTAGTCATTGTATGGAAGCTCTAGTTGGGGTAAGACAGAAGACAATCAAGAGACCAGGCAAGTTTTGCATTATGACATCCTGAGCAAATCACTCGGGTGTTCCTATCATCTTTGTTTTTCTATCAAATATGGAGAAGACTACTTCAGAGGTATACTTGTTGAGTATAGGATTTAAATATTTTTAATGCTATTCTTTTTGAGTCCACATCAGTGAGGTAGGTGGATAGAAAGGTGGATACCTACTGCTATGTGAGGGAAAAGGCCTAACCCCCAAGTGACCCCAAATCTAGAAAATTTTAAGCAATGCTTATTTCGAGCCCTCCCTTTGAGCTGTCTGGCAGGTAGCTCACAGGAATAACCTTTACCCACAACAGTTCAAAGGTCAGGAGGATCAAAGGGACCAGTTAACCCTACAGAGTATAAAATCCAAAGCTGTAAATACTCGCCAGTAACTGTTCAGACCAGAAAAAAAAAATGATGACAGGGTAAAAAGGGCCTGTGGTCTTCAGTCACAAGAAAGGGGAATAAATGGCTTAGTATCAGAAAAGAGGACATAGGACCATTAAGGAAAAGGTTATAAGGCTTGAAGGCACATTAGCTAGAGCTATGACCATCTCCACCTGACTCTGAAGCTATTACCATTAGGAATATCTGTGCTCAGGGCCACAGCTGTTTCGTATGTCCAGCATCGGGCAACATTACGAATGGTATAGCCACCTCCTCCCAGCATCAGCATCGGCAGATTGAAATTCCTCACGAATTCCACACACTTGGCATGCCCTTTGGTGGTGGGGGGGAAAAAAGGTGCTGGATTAAAGAACAGCCCAACAGGAGCCTCCCCACTCATTCCTGCACTACTTGGTCTCACCTTTGATGGTCAAATTGAAACAACCTAATCGATCCCCAGAGAGGGAGTCTGAGCCACACTGTAGGACAACTGCACTAGGTTGGAACATCTCCATTACTTTGGATATGACCTGAAAGGCAACATCTTGGTTACCATTAGCCTCAAGAAAACCTATTTGACAGGTACAGAGGTGGGAAGGGTGAGTACAGACAACATTTTTTCCTGTTCCAATCTTAATTTTTTCTATTCCATTCTTAATTTCCTTCTCTCCCACATACTAGGTGAGGGAGAAAAGGGAATGTCAAACTGGGGTTTTCTTACTAACGTACTTTGGATTTTACTTTCTTCCCAATCTAAGAGGATTTTTAAGACCATTCTACTCTGGTAACTGAATCTGAAATGACCTGTGTCATTTTCCTAAGTTTCTCCTTCCTTCAGTATCGATTCCTTCCACACTCTTTTTTTTTTTTTCCCTCTTCTTCTCCCTGCCTCTTTTTTTTTTTTTAAACAGTCCCTCGGTAAGGACTATCCACTTAGCTTTGTATCCAAAGACGAAATTTGTAGGTGAAAGGAGTTAGGAGTTAGCCTTCGTTACAGACTGGTTCATTTCAGGGTCGAAAATATGGAACGCTTCACGAATTTGCATGTCATCCTTGCGCAGGGGCCATGCTAATCTTCTCTGTATCGTTCCAATTTTAGTATATGTGCTGCCGAAGCGAGCACTCCTTCCACACTCTTAACTTCATCTGCTCTACTCACTTCGTTTGAACTCTTAATTTTACTAAGGAAAAAATTAGTAACATAAGCCCCTCCACCAATATGACTGGGTACATATATTCTCTGCTAAATCCCAACCCTCTAGCCCTTAACTTCCTTCACATGCACTGTTTCAATTTTCAAAGTCTAGTTCAAATGTCATCACCTCTATGAATCATCTCTGACAATCCTTTCCCCATCTCACCATTTTATCTCTTTCTCCTCTAACTTTCAGAGTATTGATCACGTGCTGTTAGGTATATGCGTGTCTGCATTACAAAGATTATGAAGTTTCTAAAGGCCTAAAATACCTTAGACATTCTTGTGTATCTACCACAGTGCCTAGCCCATGGAAGGCATCAACAAATATCTGAGATGAATTCTGTTAACTGACCATTATGGCATGCAACTCAGGGCTGAAACCCACCCCAATTCTAACCAGCTTCTACACTGCAGAGATGGGAGTGCTTTGCTACTCTTCCCCAAGACCAGTCTCCGGCTTGTATCCCAAAGGATAAACAACTCACTTACCGGCCTGAAAATGGCCTCATAGGACTCATCATCAATCCCATCTCGGAGCGGGTAGTTAACGGCATAGTACTTGCCTTTGCCAGCACCAATATCCTAATTAAGAAGCACACTTAAGTAAAACTGAATGATGAAGCTGGGAAGAACTTAAAGAATAGGGGCTGAAAAGCTAAGGAAAGAGGCAAGGGTTCTGAGACAAGCTGGGCCCATGAGGTGGATTGGGAACAGACCAGGTATCCCATAATCAGTACCATTTCCCTCACTAGCCAGTAGTTCTTGTCCATTTTTTAACACACCACTGACCATGCACTCAGGCTGAAAGTTATTTATGGGCCAGATATTTACTATCCCATTCTATAGCCTAAGATCTCTACCTTTGGAGTGGGTTAAAGCAACTAGATGACAGAAATAACCCCTATTCCCAACAATCCTTTTGTATCCAGAAGGGTTTATGGCTTACTCCTATACCCTCTATTCTCTCCTCTAGAGAAAGGTGGAGGGAGAACAGAGGGCAAGAAAGAGTTCTTCCAAATGACTTCAAAATCGTAAAATCGTAAATGTCCAGTTATTCTAATGATTACCATAAGCTAACAACTGAGTTAGTACTAATTTCACCCAAGGGCTATGTCACTACATAGAAAAATGGCTGGTTTCACTGAATTCATCCTAATGGGAGCAGAAGGGACAGTTCAATGAACCAGCTTCCAAGGATTTTTATTCTGAAATCCATGGATTGATCTTAGTTAAGTGGAACATATCTATTAATTCTTCAGTAATACAGGTAAAATTTTTATTACTTTTCTGGAGCAGTTCAAACCTTTCAGTCAGTTGGAAGTCTTAGCCTACTGACAAGAACTTGATGTTTCTAGCCCTAAACTCAAGCCAATGGGAGGGCTGAATAGAGCAACTGGGTTGTGATCAGGTACAATGACTCAGGAAACCACCCTTCACCCCCTTAAGCCTTGATGGGTCATCACTCCTTTCCCCTAGAATTAATGGAGGGAAAGATATTGCAGCTAGTGGCAGGTGCCCTAAGGCTGGGGGCTATAGTTCTAAAACAAGAGGCAGGTAGCGGGTTTTAGTGAAACAAGATAGGAGAGTTAGATCTAACAGCTGAGGGTGAGCTGGTTGGCCCCGAAGAGAGTTCTTACCCGTAAGTCCCCTGTTCCTGGGAAGTACTCTCCATACTTATGAAAGGACACAGTCATGACCCGGTCTGTGGTATAGAAGGCCTCTTCCACGCCATCACCATGGTGAATATCAATGTCAATATACAGCACCCTCTGGTGATACCTAGGATCAGAAAGGGGTCAGGGATCTGGGGGCTCTTTGGGGATGGGACGCGCCAAGGGCGCCAGGTCCCAGCTTACCAGGCTGGCTGCCTCCCTCAGGTATCTCTAAGCACCAGAGACGTGGAAACTGGCTGAAGGAAGGTGGAAGAGCAGCTGGGTGTCTCCAGAGGCCTGACCAAGCTGACCAAGTCCGATCTTCCTACTCTACAGCCAAGGTCAACTCCGGCCACACAGGGACACTCTGGAGACAGGATCTGAGCAGCGCCTGCCCCTGATCTTGCCGTGAGCTCAGATCAAACCAAGATCCCGTCAAAAAGAGGATGGCCAAAAGACACTCATCAAACACATCCTAGCCAGCATACCAGTAGGAAAAGCAGACTAGGGAGACAAACCCAGGGAAAGGGGAAGAGGGAACCTGGCCTAAGGTGCTCTCCAACAACAGACAAGACCAGGTAAGCATACTTTAGCAGTTCCAGGATGGCCAAGACGATATCATTGACGTAACAGAAGCCAGATGCTTCAGACTTCTTTGCATGGTGAAGGCCCCCAGCCCAATTCACAGCGATGTCTGTCTGTTGCTTATTAAGTTTCACAGCACTTGCTAGGGAAGAGAAAACATATAAGCATGTTACCAAGCCACTCTCTGCTCTATAAGCAGCTTAAGAAACCCAAGAAAGAGTTAGGACCTATCCATTTAACAACCAAATTATACAAGCCAGCCTCTTCCTGCTCACCTTATTCCAATAAGGGAGTAAACATGATATTGGCTACTCTTAAACGGTTTTTAAAACTTGTGGATAGCATTTTTTTGTATATAAAAATAAACTTAACTACTGTTTTGTACCACTTTGGCTTTAGATAAAGAGAGTGTGTGAGAATACTGGATTGCACATGTAAGTGTATTTCTTACTGTAGGTGAAAGGGTATTAAAAAATAAAAACTATGCTGAAGAAAAGAAAAAGATGCACTCATGCATGCAAGCATATTTGTGGCAATGTGACTTTGAAGAACATGGAACAAATAAAATTATCCAGTAGTGACGGCAAATCCTACTGTCATCAAATAGATTCCAAATCATGAGAGCCCTACATGCTACTGAGGAAAGCTGAGCTCCATGGGTCTTCTTAACTGTCATCTTTCTGGAAACAGATTACTATGAATCTGTCCCTTGGATGTGTCTCATTGTCCCTTGGAATGAATGAGTGGGTTCAAACTACAAACTTTTAATAATTGAGCAAAACCCACTACCCAGGGAACTTATCAAAATAATTTAAAACCAATTCTATCCCCTGAAGTGGCTCCATAAAGATGGAATAATCCTGCAAAGTAAAGTGGTCTGGGGTGGCGAGGGAGGGGGAAGCACATGACTACATAACAATGAAAGAACTTTTTTCCCCAAAGAAAAAAGCGGTGGGAAGAGGGGAGGCGCTGGGAGGAAAATGTGCAAAATGAAAGGTTGGAAACCCAAGTTCTTGATAAACTTTCATTAAAATCCCAAAAGGGTACTATGAGCAGAGAAACTGAAAAGGTTTACTAAGTAAAAAAAAAAATGCAGGCACAAAATTATATATATAATGTGACATACTTTTTTTTTGGTAAAATACAGATATCAAACATGTTCTGCCCGAATATATATATGTAAGGAGAAAAGTAGCTGTACAAATACCAAAATGGTTAACAGTGGTTGTCCATGTACTGTGTGATGGTGGAAATTTATTTTTCTTTGTACTTGTTTGTTCCCCACAATTTTATCAGGAGGGAAGAAGGATACAATGTTCTAGGTGAGAAACCTAGGAGTTACTAACAGAAGTGAGAGATAATGTGGGAAGTATTTCTGACCTCTAAAGATAATTACCATGCTCTTTCATAAAGCATAAATGATACTTCTCATTTATATAGCATTTTGCAGTTCACAAACTGCTTTCATGTACAGCATCTCAACAACACAAAACAGTCTTCAGTGAATTCTGTAAGAGCTCTTGATGGGAGAGGACAGTCTAGGACACCTCAATACCATGAAGAGACTGACCTAGGGCTAGTGTAACCCATAAGGACATTATAGAGAAGGAGAAAACCCCCATAGTCACTCTACATGGTCATGGATCATTAGAGAAGGGATGTACATTACTTACCAACGGAGCCACCAGTAGATAACTGACAGAACTCAAACAGGCCATCAAATACCGGGCAATCCTCACCAACATTGACTTAAAAGAAAAGGGCAAAAAGTTAGGGTCCACAATTTAATTTAGATTATTAAGAGCTGATGGAAAAAACTCAAAGAACCTGGATTTAGAAGGCTTTGGGTTCAGGTTGTGTGAATGAGTCAATTTCTTTAACTTCACTGAGGTTTAGGCCACAAGCTATAATGATATCACCCAAGTGTTGTGAAGACATTTTAAATGGGAAAGAAATATAGGAAACATTTAAGCAATTACTTGGAAAACATTAGTTCACTCCTTGAATGAGAAAAACTTAGCTGTTACTTTCAGACCGAATTTGTGTCCCAGGACCTTCTGTAACTATCTTTTATACTTGAACACTTACAATGTGTTAGGCAATGGTGACTCATTTAGTCTTACACAATCATTTGAGGTAGGATTTAATTATGTTTTAGAAATGGGAATTAAGCTCAAAGAGGTGAACTTCTAATAGTGCTAGAATGCTTTTTCTGTATCAAGTGACAATTTCAGACCCAAAGGGGTAAAAGTACAAAACAGTACAAAATGTAAAAAAGAAAAAATGCAAATTAAATTAAAAAGAAGGGAAGAGAAGCACACCTGGTTGTAGACTTGCAGAGCTTAGAGTGGAACCTTATGGCTCCAAGTCTCACAGAAAAGGAAACTGCTAAGACATCTATGATACAGAGGAAGTCAGAGGCAGGGGTGGAGCTTGATGTTGACTCTCACTAAACCCTGCTACTGTCAACAGAAGTTCCCAAAGCAGGACAAGGAGAAGTTTTGGTATGAAGGGAAGGAAAGCCTACCTGGGCTAAGTATTAATTTCTTGAGATATAGTAAAAACCCAAGACCTGGATTAACAACAACAACCAACTCTGGAAATGCCCTTGGAGTCTGTTCTGATGTGTTGCCTACCAAGACAGGTGCTTCTGCATAAAAGAGTGAGCAGTAGGTGGCTCTCCCTGCCATCTGCGGTAAACACTGAGAAGCTGTGTCAATAAGAACTTTGTTCCCTGGGGCCAGGCTATTTAACCACTGGCAACTGATCTCTTCTTGGTTGCTTCCTGTTTCAGTGGTTTGTCATGCTTGGGTTTTCAAAGCTTTGACTGTACTATCATTTACGGTGCAGAGCTCCATAGTAGGGAATGGAAGTTTTAGACATTAAAAAAAAAATTTAGATCTGAAACCATTATGTGGTACAAATAATAAGCAGGTTTATTCTCAGTTTAATAAGCTATGTGGTCAGAACAGGCAAAAAATGAGAGAGGAGACTAATCTGTGAGACTAGGGAGAACTTTTCTGTGGGTATTCCCTCTTCCTACTATGAATACTTTCCTCATTCTTGGGTGGCCTTTCCACTGAAAGGGAGCAATATATATGAGCTGAGAGAGAGGAGGGAGGAGAGGTAGTGAAGGCAGCAAAAAGTACAATACACAAATACATGGCATTAAACAATGGCTTCAGGAGAGTGCTGCCCTTGGCGGTCATGGTCATAAGAGGGGGGCAAGAGGAAAGAAGGGATACACACAACGTGGTCTAGGTGAGTTTCTCAAGTGGGACTTCAACTTGCACTTGGATGTTCATGATACTTTTAATATTTTGTGTGTATGTGTCTGAAATATGAGACTGGAGTTCCAGTTTCAATTCTACTGCCACCTAGCAGTGTCATCCTAGGAAAGTTACCTCATCTCCAGGTCTCATCTGTAAAATGTAGAACTTTTCAAACTTTTCATTACTGTAAACCCCAACTGTCATATTTTCATGATAAACCCCATGTTTTAGCAGACTACTAAAATACTTGCATTTATTCATGTTCCCCTTTTAGCCAATAAAGAGTTGGTCAGGACTGTTTAACCTAATTCTCAAATCAACCACAGAAAGCTTACTATAAATTATAGCGAAAAGCAAGGAAATCTAGCTCAGTCTTTACACAGGTATAGCTTCCCAAGTTAGATAACAAGTGATAACATTAAAAATTAGAGTTCTGGGAGCTCTGGTAGCCTAGTGGCAAGAAACTGCATGGCAATCCCAGAGGTGTGAGGTTTGAATCCACCAGATGCTCTCCTGGAGAAGGAGGGGCAATCTCCTCCTGTACCAGTCAGATCTGATTTGAAGGTACACACATAAAAAATAGTAAAATAAAAAACAACCAAAAAAACCTAGAGTTCTAAATTAAAAACAACAACAACAATAAAAAAACAACCAAAAACCCTAGAGTTCTTATTTTGTCCATTCTGTTTCTGTAAACATTCCATAAATTATAAAGCACAATGAAAATCTTTGCCTTCTGACACTCTAACTCTATGAGTTGAATCTGTAAAAGTCCCTTCCCACCTCTAACTCCAGCAAAATAAAATTTCAGACTTAATCTTTTTCATGCACAACTTTAGAATATTGGTTTTTGGAAAATGAATACAAGCTAGGAGCCAAACTCAAAGTCCTGAGGGTATTCACAAATTTGCAAATAAAAGTAAGTCACAATGTTGTTGTTGTTGTTATGTGCCATCGAGATGCTTGCGACTCACAGCGACCCTATGTACAACAACCCCAAACTCTGCTATGTCCTGTGCCAATCACACCGTCTCTGATACATCCATCCTAATCACCCCAGTCACTGAATCAATCCATCTCATAGAGGACCTTCCCCTCCTGCGCTGTCACTCCATCCTGCCAAGCATGATGTCCCTTCTCCAAGGACTGGTCCCTCCTTACATGTCCAAAGTATGTCAGACAAAGCCTCAGAATCCTTGCCTCCAAGCAGCAGCCCGGTTTAACCCTTTCCAGGATGAATGTTTGTTTTCTTAGCAGTCCATGATACACTCAATACTCTTCTCCAGCACCACAGCTGAAAAGGCATCAATTGTCCTTCTATCCTCCCTAGTCACTGTCCAACTCTCTGACGCATAACAAGTGATTGCAAAGATGCAACTTAGTCTCCAGAGAGACACCACTGATCTTCACTATTTTGGAGAGGTCCCTAACAGCAGAATTTCCCATCACAATACGTCTTTTTCATTTCCTGGCTGCTGGTGCCAAGAGTGTTGGCTGTGGAGCCAAGCAAACTGAAGCTGTGAACAATCTCAATCTCTTCACCATCCATCCTGATGTTGCCAATTGGTCCAGTGGCGAGAATCTTTGTCTTCTTGATATTGAGCCTCAATTCATATTGTAGGCTGCAGTCCTTGACTCTCTGCAGCAAGCGCTTCAGGTCCTTTCTCAGTTTCAGCAAGCAGGGTTGTGTCATCTGCATAACGCAGATTGTTAATAGATCTTCCACCAATCCTGACGCCACATTCCTCCTCACAGACCCCAGCCTCTCAGAGAATCTGTTTTGCATACAGGTTGAAAAGGTACAGAGATAGGATGCATCCCTGGCATACGCCCTTCCCAATTTTGAACTATGCAGTGTTTCCTTGCTCTGTTCTGAGGACTGCCTCTTGGTCCAGGTATAGGTTTTGTATTAGCACGATCAAGTGTTCTGGGATTCCAATTCTTCTCAGAGTCAGCCACAGTTTGTTATGATCCACACAGTCAAATGCCTTGGCATAATCAATGAAACACAGATAGACATTCCTCTGGTGTTCTCTGCTTTCAGCTAAGATCCATCTAACATCAGCTACAATATCCCTAGTAGCACGACCCCTTCTAAACCCAGCCTGGACTTCTGGCAGTTCTCTGCTGATATGCTGTTCCAGTCATTTTTAGATACTCTTCAGTAGAATCTTGATTGCATGTGAAATCAATGATACTGTTCTACAGTTTCCACACTCTGCTGGGTCACCCTTCTTTGGAATGGGAACAAATATAGATCTCTTCCAGTCAGTTGTCCAAATGGTTGTTCTTCAGATTTCTTGGCTCAAGTTGGTGAGCACGTTCAGGGCAGCATCTGTTAGCTGAAATATGTAAACTGGTATACCATCTATTCCTGGGGCCTTATTTTTTGCTATTTCCTTCAAAGCAGCTTGAACTTTTTCCTTCGTTACCACAGGCTCTCGCTCATATGTTGTTTCATGAAATTCTTCTGTGTCTGCCAATTCCTTTCGATGCAGTGACCCAGTATATTCTTTCCATCCTCTTTTAATACTTCCTGGATTATTAAATCCTGAATTTAATATTCTGCCTAAAGCATCCTTGATTATAGCAACT